AAATAAGATAATTTATAAAAGTAATTATTTACATTTTTTTAACCAGTTAACAGTGGCACCTCCGATTGAGACCTTGCAACTATGTGTGTCACGGAAATCGAGAAAGGCTGAATATACTTGTCAATCACAGAGGTGAACGTCGCTCTTAAAATATTGGATAAAAAAGTGGGTTTATTTTATAAAATTTCCGAATTTATTAGTAATACTTTTTTATTTGGTTAACATAAACATTGCACGTATGGATTTAAGTAGTATCAGTGTGTGGGGTTGTAAAGCGTAAGTTTTTTAGCTAGGTAGTGCGTCACAACACACACAATAACGAGGATCCCCCTAGAATTCTTCAAACTGTTGATCATTTGGTCTATGTTCTCGAAGCTATAAAGTAGTTTAGCTCGGTCACGCTGAGGTCCCTTCGACCGTAAATTTTAATGGATATCTATGAGTTTAAGTGGTCATCGAAACTCCCGTACGGAGAGAATCTAAAAACGGCACTAATTTACTTTTTTCCTTACTGACAAAATGTTTTGTACCTGTATTGACACTAAGAAAGTTTTTGAATAAGTGCTATATGGCTGATCCCATTCCTCTTATCAGAACACTTTTTTGCCTTTCTAATCACCTAAAATAACAGTTATATTGGCAGCAGTGCATTCGGCCATTACTCTTATATCAGTACATGGTTCTAACATCAAACAAATGATATTTACACCACTCGATCACTAGGTAACTCCGTACCAGAAGCTATCAATGGGATCAAGGCCTGGTCGGTGTCACACATTCGCTCCAGAGATGACTATACTTGAAGGAATCCTATTACATAGTCATGGAACATAAACTCGTTGTGCAAACTTCTACGATGTTTCAGCTGCTGCATAGGGGAACGCATGAGTTCCTATTAATTTTTTCATTTTTAATATTTGTTTTACTCCGGCCTGGCGTCAAAATATTCTGAACAAGTTGAAATTTGAGAATATGTTTTGTTTTCCTCAAAAATTGCAATTTAAATAGCCAATGGTCACTACTTCTTACACATGACGAATAGGCTTGTCAATACACAAAATTCTGCTACTTGTCCATAACAAGTATACCCGTCAATTACAGTTAAATGTTTAAGGAATGTTATCAATCACCAATGATAAGAATCATACGTAAGGGTTGTCTAAATGAAAAGTGGGCTAGTGCAATTGTGTCAAAGTGATTGCAGCGACACCGAACATGAATAAAAAGGGAGGTAGGAGGTGTACACCCGCATACGATGTGCAATAATGAAACCTGTTCGTGATAGAGGAAATAGATAAAAAGTAAATTCGTTCTATTCATGGATGCTTCCATATTGGAACAATACGAGGAAGACCTGTTTCTGATTGCAAAAAGTGAGCTGGAGGTGGACATCTATCAGCAAATGGGAGCAGTCTATGACGAGCACTGCTTAGTTCGGACAATTGTTCAAAAGTTTTCGTGAAGGGTGTCAAACCATATCAGATCTTCTTGAAAATGCCAGCCCAAACGTCTTCCACGAAACCCAGACAATCTTAAAACCTTTTAACTGTCATGCCCGAGATAAACTCGGGCACAGCACTGATATTCGAAAATGTCACGCCCGAGTGTTACTCGGGGTAATTTTTTTGAGTTCATCGTATTGTTTTACCCGAATATATATATATATATATATATATATATATATATATATATATATATATATATATATATATATATATATCGGAAGACGTTTATTTCGGCTTCATTTCTTTCTCAATCCCGACTGATTCTCGGGAAAAGTTAATGTGCGCTCAATTCAATAGATGGCAGAACTTTACTGAAGACTTCAAAGGTTAGAGGTTAGAAGTTCTTTGGTTCAAAGTACGCGGGATCTTTTTGCAATAAAAAAATTGACAATTTGTGTACCCAAATCATCAAAATAACTTGACAGTTAAAGGGTTAAAAAAATTGAAGAGAAGTGTTTTAACACCCGCCGTACAGTCCAGATTTGTCTTCCTGAAATCTTCCACACTTTTTCCACTTAATAGAGCATTACGTTTCCATTACGACGATGAGGTGAAGGGAACTATGCAGGACTTCGTCAGGAATCAAGCACTTGTCTTTCTACTGCAAAGGCATACGTCTACTATCGAAACGATGAAACCTGTGTTACAACGCCCATGACAATTTATCTTGATTCTTAACAAAGTTATTATTTTTTTCCATCTTGCCCCCTTTTCATTTGGGTAACCTTTAAAGAATAAACGATGAATCTCGTAATTAGCAGAATTATATACCGTGAAATCCGGCGTATAAAGCGCACCGCCGTATAACGCGCACCCATACTTTCCAGCTGCATATTTTAACTTTTAGGTATATTCGTCGTAAAAGGCGCACTCCCCCCATCCTTTATTACGAAGATACTTGAAATGTACGTATGCAATATTTTTATGTTTTGAAGTCGTTTATTCGAGGTATTATCCCAAGTTTTTGGAAAAAAATAGTATATTTCTAGAATTACAACCCTTTATATTTTCATAAGGAATATCCTTTATTTTAAATGAAGAGTATTTCGATATACAGTATAATGTCGTTTATCCAAACGTTTATTATCTGGAACGTCAAATATCCGGACCAGTTTTTTCAGAGATCTTGCAGAGAAATATATCAATTTAGGAAAAAAAAACACTTCTTCACGAGGGAACATATTGCATTTCTTAAGGAGACACAAGGTACAATTTATTAAAAAAAATAGTTTGATTTTATGGTTTTTAAAATTTTTTTGCTAGTAATCAAAGCATATGGGTTACATAAAACAGTTTCTGGGCTCAAATTATTAAAAAAAAAAGACTATCCATTTAATTTTTTAAAGAAAAAAATTAAATTTTATGATTTTAAAATGTGACTTATACAACATTTGACGTACACACATGAAGTCTGATTAACAAATACTTTAAGCTACATATAACAAAATTTGGTATGGGCTTTTCATTAGTATGACTAATATCTGTCATTTTTTTTTCGTGAATGTTTATTTAAAATTTCTTAAAATATGGGTAAATTCTAAATTTAACAACTGTTTTAAAAAGTAATATTTTGATTCAAAAATGCATTACAATTTTTGTTTTATGTACTAATAGTAATAGGTAAAAATAAATCAAAAGCATTTGGTACAATGTAAAAAAAGCCTTAGCATTTTAAATGCAGATAAATATGCTATTTTTCTTCTTGAGGTAAATCCGTTTAAATTTTTTATTTACCATTGAAATGGTGAATATAAAACTTATCATAACTCTGGATTTTTTTAAACTTTAAGTTCTCAAAAAATTCGTGAGGTTATAGAAAGTTATATGAAAAAATAATTTGGACTAAAAAAAAAAATTATTTGAACTTTTGACCAATTTTTGTTATTTGAAGCGTACTGTGTCCACTTAATAGCCATGAAACATATGAAATAATTCATTTTTAGAAGCATTCAAGGTAGTATAAAATTCAACTATTCATGCCGATAAAATAGTAACGATTTGTGACATTTATAGCCGTATTTTATGTAAATAATTCTAATTTTATATAAAAAAAATATTCAATATGTATTTATTGTATTCAATTGTCTGCAGAAGCAGGTTGATCTTGATGCAAAATAAATAATGGAATGAGTTATGATAACTTCAGAAACGTTATGATGCGTGAGAGATATTTGCATTTATTTCTGTGTTTTTCGCGAATATAATATTTCCTTTCATAATGTAACATCAGTTTTAGATATATAAATTCAAAATTTTGTTTCAAAAAATCACAGAATAAACTGGAAAATTTTATTGTAGCTATTTGCACTTTATATATTCGATAGATTTATCAAAAAATTCAAACGCTACCTGAGCGGTATCATTTATCACAAAGGAAAATCTTAAATATATTTTCTTTACTTTTATCACATTTTTTATCTCTCTCTCAATGTATGGAGAATAATACAAAATGGGATTAGAAAATAAATTAAATTTCGTGCCTTGAGAATAATAAAATTGTTTTAAGAAAAATGAGGCTTTGCCTCGTAAACAAGTCTGCGCTTTTAAACTATGTAAACAAAATATTTCTTAACAAACATAACTCATACTGTTTACCTGGTAAACAGCAACAGCATGAACTCCAAATCTTTATCTTTTCTTTCCTCTTCATTATATAGAAGTGAACTATTATACAGGGAAAAGAATTCTTACCTGTAACAGTACAAGGAAACCCAGTGTCAGAAGCAGAGACTGTGCTGGTTTGTCTCCTTATGGAAGAAGTGAAGCTCAAAATGTGCGAGATGCTTTTTAGAGTATACTTAACTTTTCTTTTTCTTTCAAGTTTTTTTCATTTTGGTTAAGTTTTTGTAGCCCCCTTTTCCCCCCTTCTGCAAGATTATAACGTGTTCACTTCAATCCTGTCATCTACAAATGTTCTTCGATCAAATTTGCAGTCAGATGGATAATCCAGATTGAACGGGAGAAGGAAAAAAATGGGAAAAGCGATTTTTCGATGTAAAGTGCGAGTATTTGTTAAAAAAAGTCTTCCTATTTTGGTTAATTTTAGTGTTTGGTATCTTGTAACTGAGAAAGTATGAGAAAATCAGAAATTCAATCCTAGTTTCTCTGCTACCAAGATTACATATACTAGATAAGTAAATAATTTTAAACCTAGGATTTAAAAAAAAACAAAGTACACAATTGTCTATTTTACTTTTTTAGATTACATGAAAACGAAATAGAAAAATTATTCAATTCCTGAAATTAGTTCACACTCTCCCTATATACATATATTAGATATAACTTGTTCAAATTTTCAACTAATCATAAATAAAATACTTTTTATTCATCCACTAAAGTTTATATACATATTTTTAAATTTGTAGTGGATGACATTTGATGTTAGTACATTTCTTCCAATATTAATTCATTAATTAATTTAAAAATTAATATATAATAACAAACAAAAATAATAATAATCCAGCAGCATATATTGAAAGGAAAATCTTTCGTTGTGTCCCTGTAGCACAATGGATAGCGCGTTGGACTTCTAATTCAAATGTTGTGGGTTCGTCCCACCTGGGATGGCTTATTTTCTGAGAATGTGATTTCTTTTTCAGTATACTATTTTATTAGAATAATTAAATTTAATTAATGAATAAATAGTAACAAACAAGATAGTCCAACATCCTATATAGAAAGGAAAAAAGAAAATTGCAAGGAAAATTGCCTTTTATTTTGCCACTTAATAGTGTGCTTCTATCATACATATTTATATGTATTATAATTTTTTAAGTAAAAGTAACTAAAATAAAATTTTTCTTTGTTGATCTAATTAGGGACTGAATTTTAAAAAAAATTATATTACATGAGTTTTTTTATGACAAACAGTCTGGCACAAAATATTCAGCTAAAATTTCAATTGAGATTTTGAAAAGTAAATCTTTGTAAAATTTAAAAGCAAGATCCGCAGGCATGGTCTCCGAGCTGAGAGTCCATGCTGCGGTAAACGTCGTCGATATTTCCAAGAAAACTCTTCTACTAAAATTTGTATAATCAGAGAAATATGCTATCAGTTTTCAATTATTTAAAGTTTTATAGTGCAGTACTTTTATATAAATGGGGTACTTAAATTATTCTTTAAATTAATAAAAGTTTGAACTGATTGAAATAGAATCTACAACAAGTCGAAATGATTAATAACTTTACTGTGTATTTAATGATTGTGAAATTACTTTGTCTTAAAATTTTATTTCAAAGATGGTAATAATTTAATTATTTGATACAATATACTTTATGATTGTTATATTCTACTTCTTTTTAAACCAAAAAGTAAAACCACATCAATGCTTAAGCTCATTGCTAGCTATTTTATGGTAAGAAAAGTTCTAGCCACAGAGTCCTAAAAAGACATACTTATTTTAAAAATCGTTCTTAAGAGTACTTATTATTCCTAAATTCACTTTTTTTTAAATACATAACTTTTTTATTTATCAAAGATATAGAAGCAATTTTTTTTAGTCGACATTTTAAAGAAAATTCCCCATTAACTAATGAAAGGGATTATCAAATCACGATTTGATCTAGAGTGAACAATAGGCTAATATTCAATCCAAAACATATAGTTAATATATATAGTTAAAGGCACTAGGGCATTGATATAGCCTAGAATATCTTCGAGAGGCCACAATGATATGACTGTGTGCATTGGAGAGACTCTTAATGGTCAAATGTGTCAAGGTGAAATTTTCGATCAATATGCGAAACTCATGTTAGTACTATTGGAGACGGTAGATAATGTTCATCCTGGTAGATAATGTTTGGCTACAACGACCTAAAATTCTACAGTAATAGTTTTTCGATCAGAATGCTAAACAAAAACAGTGATCAATTTTTCAAATAAATTTAATACAATAGTACACATTCGGAATTGTTTTGGTGCAGAAATTGAAACTTTAAATAGGTTACCACAGACGTTGTAATGCTAAGGATTTCTCTTATGTAAACCACAATAAACTATTGTGACTAGTGAAAAGTGCTCCTAGAGTTAAATAATAAATTTTAAATTATGAATCTCTCTAAATTATTATTTTTTGCAAGCCGAAGACTATTTAAGTCATCAGGTGTTTTTCTATACCAATTATTCTAAAAGATAAAAGAACATAGTATACAATAAGACTTTACATAAAAATAGGGTAAGGATCTCATTAAAAAATCTGCGTAATTTTAAGGTATCCGAACACGTTCGGGATACTTTTTGACAAAATAGCATATTTAAACATTAGGCATGCTTTTTTATGGCTATAAATACCAATACATTCTAATATTTAACTAACAATATTTAAAATAAATTGCTTAAATTTCAGTAAAATCGCAATTATAAGTAAAATTTTAGCAAATCTTTTGTAAAACTTCAAAGGAATTGGAGAAAAAAATAATAAACTTATATTAGTAAAAGCATTACTAAAACAACCTATATCTAGAAATTGCACAAAAATTTTAATGTTTCATTAAACTTTGAAAAATTTAGAGCTTATTGAGTAAATATTATAAGAAAAGTTACATTCTGTATGAGACCATTATTTAAATAACAAGCCATAATTCAAAAAGTATTCATACAATACGAAATATTTTAGTACATTCTCTAGAAAATAACGTAAATATCAGGTTCAAAGAGAATAGAAACACATTTGTAATATTTTGAGTTATAGGACTCGCCATGATAGATTTTTAGCAATTTAAATGCCCACTTCTGGTAGATCAAATATCCACTTCCATTTATTCTAACTTTATAAAATTTATTGGTAGGTAGAAACAAAAAAAAGTATGTTTTATAAAACCAAAAGATAGCTCTATTCAACAAAATAAAAAGCAAAAACATCTGTCTTGACCAAATTTGGTCATTCAGATACCTTAAGAGATTTCTAATAAATTGATTAAAACTTACTTTCGGGGATTTTAACATTTATCTACAAGAACTATTCATCTAGGCACGTACTGTATGGCTAAGTTAATTGTAGATTTCTGGTTCCCTTCGCAAAGTTCATTTCCTAGAAATTTTGGCATTAAGTCAATATTAGTCCCCAATAATGATGTGTTTACAATGATTTTTTTTTCTTTTCCTTTTCAATTCCCTACTGTTGCTTTGAATTCAATTTCATTTTAACCTATTCAATGTAATACATACCAGATAAATTTTGAAAGCTTAACGTGCTCTCAAAATTATTCATTTTGATGGTAATTCCTTGATTAATTATTTTCTAATTAGTGATGGATATTCCGAAGCAACACGAGAAGTCTTGGTGATGGACTTCGTAGTTTTTTACTACAGTTATTGACGAGCACAATACACCTGAGCCCACACTCCACTATCAAAATATTTACACTGTAAGAACGTGAAAACTTTGAGCCTTGACGGCGTTCACCCTTTAATTGCCACCAGCGAATATATCCGTCTCACTCAAATAGTGTTTTAAGTGCCCCCGCACGTATATATACGTCCTTATGAAATACGATTTTTTTCTTTGTGCTGCCACCATTACAACTATTCTGAGAGGTTTAAAATGCAATACAATGACCTTTAAAGTATTTACGAAGGAGTTTTGTCACCCATCCGGTTTAGTGGTTAGCGACGCTGACTGCTGTGCCATTGGGACTGGGTTCGAATCCCGGTGAAGACATGGGGAATCGATCGCTAGACTGTGAGCAGTTCGGACGCGCGTGTTTGAGCTCCCAGATTTTTTGTATCGCGTTGACAGAGAGAGAACGCAAAGTCTTTTGCAGCCCTTTTCAGGGCTTTTATGGTCAAGGGGGTTGCCTCTATAAGTAAGATGAGTAGCGATTCAGATTCAGACATGGAAATGAATTCTGAAAATTCCGGACACACCTTGAATTCACGATCTTATCGTTCCGGAACTTCGACTTCAATGACGCCGATAACTGATTGCCAGAGATTCAAGATGACTATGAATAAATTATATATTGCCGAGGATGCCATTCTACAGTATGAAGAAAGGTACAGAATTCTTTACCAGGAAAGAAAAAAGATGGATTCAAGTCTTTACTAAAATTGAAGAGACAAGAAAGGGAAGCTGTGGTAAGAGCTTAATATTCTTCCTCCATGTACCTACCTCGACTGCCCCGATCATTATTCTGCCCTGGCAGATTCCTCTAATTCTAAGAAAAATTCTCAATCTGAGAAAATTAAAACTAACGTTAAAAAAAGCAAAGCTCAAAAAAGTAAAGATTGCAAGGATAATCAGGATGACTTTGTCTTCCCTAAAAAAAACTATTAGGTCTAGTACTCCCATTAAAACCCCTGAACCTGTTGTAACTCAAAATGACTTTGAAATTCTTGAACAAGATGTAGAGCCCCCTAATGATACTGAAAATAATGTTGATAATGTGAAAAAAAATTAACACCCTTATGCCAAAGCCTCCCCCCCTATGATGCTTAAAATTAAAAAGAACTACCGCGAACAGCTTAAATTACTTAATGAAAATTTCCCAGAAATTACTAGCAAAAATTCAGGAGACTACTTAAGAATTTTCAAAAATGATCCGGAAGAATATAGATGTGTTATGCACTTTTTAGAATTAAACAATGACTTTGAATTTTATGTAATTCCCCCTCTCTAAAGAAATAAAACCAATTAAAGTTGTGATAAAAGGACTGCCTGGATGCACTAAGCCTTCAGAAGTGCAATTCAATTTAGAAGAGCTTGGTTATACTGTTATCAGTTGTAATCAACTCATTTCCAAAGTTAATAAAAATCCGTTACTTTTTTTTTCTTGTAACAATGCCTAGAAACGATATTAATTTGCCGGTTTTCGACCTTACCCGACTTGGATACATGCAGATAAGAGTTGAGGGATACCTCATTAGAGATATAACTCAATGCTTCAGATGCAATAATTTTTACCACACTGCAGCGAATTGCCATCTCAAACCACGTTGCTTGAAATGCGGTGAAGAGCATTTAACCAAAGATTGTAAAAAAGAACGGCAGGAGAAACCCTTCTGCGTTAATTGTCAGGTGTACGGGCATACTGCCTGCTACACCAAGTGTCCGAAATTCCCCAAGCCTGAAAAAGGTACCCCCGTCTTTCGTAATAAACCAAAGAAAAACTTCGAAAATAGTAATGTCTCCGAAGGACTTTCCTTCGCTGATGTACTCTCAGGCAAATCCCCCAAAAATAATTTCCCAGCAATTACCAATGATAACAAGGAAAGACAAAGTCAACCCCAGATCATTCTTGAAAAGGAAAATAGTAACGCTAGTGAAATTCAAAATTTAATAGACCGATTTAAATAAATTTCTAACTTGGTTAAGCATTTCCCAAAGCTAATCGAAATTTTACCTAAAGTTAAGGCCACTGATGATTTTCATCAACAGGCATACTTAATTCTAGAATCCCTTTTGGAACGTTAATTTTTATTAACTTCTTATTTCTAAATTTCCCCCCTTTAGCACCATTTTCTACTTAATTTCAATTTGATAGCTTCATCTCAATAGTTTAAATTTTTTCCTTCTACCGAGTCGTGGTACATTAGAACTACTGCTCTTTCTACCAATAGCGACCCTTC